CACCTCCGCAGATTCGTCCTAGTATTTTTTTACGACATCCTGGTTTACAGTACATCATGGGTGGAGCACGTTCGTCACCTACGAACTATTCTGGAACTACTGCGCCAACACAAACTCTTCCTGAAGCGGCCCAAATGTTCCTTCGAGGAGCGCCAGGTCCTTTATCTGGGACATGTAATCAACGAGCAAGGTGTCTCGATAGATGGCTCCAAGATCCAAGCAATTCAAGAGTGGCCCAAACCTCAGTCCACCAAGGCTTTCCGCGGGTTCTTAGGACTTACCGGATATTATTGCAAGTTTGTAAAGAATTACGGACTCTTGGCTGCCCCATTAACCAAGATGCTGAAGAAGAACGCGTTCCAGTGGGATGAAGCAGCGGACGCCGCCTTCACAAACTTAAGGGATGCATTCTCCTCCACCCCAGTGTTGCAGCTACCAAACTTTGACCTGGAATTTACAGTTGAATGTGATGCTTCCGGTATAGGCATTGGAACAGTACTACAACAGCAAGGGCACCCCATAGCCTTCTTTAGCCGCAAATTAGCTGACCGGCCCCTAAAGCTACCAGCCTACGAGCGCGAGTTGATTGGACTAGCCAAGGCCGTACTTGTGGGGGAGACCCTTCGTCGTTAAGACGGACCACTACAGTCTCAAGTATCTACTGGAGCAGCGGCTTGCCACTCCACCTCAACAGCACTGGGCTAGTAAACTGCTCGGGTTTGACTTCCGGGTAGACTACAAGGGAGGGACCTTAAATCGGGCCACGGATGCACTGTCCAGGCGTGACGAAGATGCTATACACCTTTGTGCAATCTCCCGACCCCGCGTCACCCTATTGGAAAGCATTAGGAGCATGCTGCCCCAATCACCAGAATGGAGGGACCTTGTTCAAAAGATACAGTCCGGAGCGACCGCCCCAAACTGGTCCATTCACGACGGGCTAGTACTATACAAGGGACGATTATATCTCCCGACCGATTGTCCATTAAATTCCCTCTGTCATCTCCAACATTCATAATGCCACACATGAAGGGGTTCAGAAGACATTACGCTGCGTCCGCACCGATTTCCATTGGCAGGGTATGCGGACTTCGATTCGGGATTTCATCCAGAACTGCTCAATGTGTCAACAACAAAAATGGGAAAACTTGCACCCGGCGGGCCTTCTCCAGCCTCTTTCACTTCCAACACAGATCTGGGCTGATATCTCCATGGACTTCATTGAGGGCCTGCCCAAGGTCGGTGGGAAATCAGTCTTATTCGTGGTGGTGGATCGCTTCTCCAAGTATGCTCATTTTATTCCCTTATCCCACCCGTATAGCGCGGCTTCGGTTGCCCACGTCTTCACACATTTTCCGCTTGCATGGGCTACCCGAATCCATCATCAGTGACAAGGACCCGATTTTTACTAGCACCTTCTGGAAGGAGCTATTTCGATTGCAGGGTACAACCCTAGCCTTTTCATCCGCCTACCATCCACAGATGGACGAGCAAACGGAGGTCGTAAACCGTACCATAGAGATGTACCTCCGCTGTTTTGTGGGAGACCAACCACGGCGTTGGGTGGATTGCCTTCCATGGGCCGAATACTACTACAACACGGCCTATCACTCCTCTCTTGGCATGACTCCATTCCGGGTTGTCTATGGTCGGGAACCCCCCGCCTATTGTCCTACGAACCTAGTTCGACACGGCTGGAAGAAGTCGATCGTAGTCTACAAGATTGCGATGCCCTCCTGGCCGAAGTCACTCTCCGCTTACAGCAGGCTCAGATACGCATGAAGAATGTCTACGATCAGCGCCACAGAGAATTAACTTTCGAGCCCGGACAGTTCGTGTGGTTGAAGCTCCAACCCTATCGGCAGCACTCTCTCAAAAGCAGATCTCCCCCTAAACTAGCCCCCAAGTTTTACGGGCCCTTCAAGGTATTACGGCAAATCGGGAAAGTTGCATATCAGCTTGAGCTACCARAGCACAACAAACTCCATGATACCTTCCATGTGTCCTTGCTCAAGCCATTCACCGGAACTCCTCCTAAGGAGGTACCTTCCCTTCCACCCTTAAGAACGGCAGACCCATTCCACAACCTCGGGCTCTGGTTCGATCCCGCATCAATCGGGGTACTCTCGAAGTCCTAGTGGAATGGGACCACCTACCATCAGCTGAGGCCACCTGAATCCCCTGGACTGTTCTGCAAGAAGCCTACCCAGATCTCAAGCTTGGGGACAAGCTCGTCGCCCAGAAGGGTGTAATGTTGTGGATGCATTCGTGGGGAGGACGTACAGCCGCCAACAGCAACAGTGAGGAGGGGCCCACAAGGCAGCAGCTTATCTTATCAGCTCTCAGCTTATCTTATTCTTATTTTATCCTTAGTAGTCTTCCCACACCTCTTGGTCGAATTCTACTGGGAGTCTTCCCACACCTCTTGTAATCTCCTATTTAAGGAGCTGCAAAATGAGAATAAAGCATTCAGTTTTCAATCAAGAAAGAGTTTAGGAGAGTTAGGGTGATCTCTTGAACAAATCACCCTTAGATCACCACGATAGGGTCTGCACGCAAAGGGAGGAGCAAGGGGAAGCTAGAGGTTCTCCCCGTGGACCGAATGGGATTCTATCGGGTTTGAATGGGGGTATAATATGTCGAATGGGATTCTAGGTTTTATGGATTCAGATCCGAAAATGCATTTCAGATCCTTTTTTCAGACTCAAACCCAAACATGGGTGGAATCTGAAAAGCAACATTTTCAGACTTAAGAGGCCTGAAAGTGTTAACACCACCTAAAACAGAGAAAAAAAGAAAGATACTAGTAAAGTCTCTCAACTTACTCCTATTTGACTCATATAGTTATTAGCTATGATTTTTTGAGCATTAAAAGCACAACTATATTTATTCTAATGATTCCTTGAAGGTCTAATAATTAATTCCATGTTTCTAAAATATTTCCTAATTTTTTAGATTTTCCAAATATCTTGGCAAAATTAATGAAGTATCGCCAAAATTTCTTCTTTACATGGCGAGAAATCTGTCGATATCAAAATTGAAAACCATGGTCATTCCTTTTCAAGGGACTCAGTTCAAAGCAACTCAAAAAATTAGAGTAATGTGATTGGGAAAGAAATAGAGATTGAAAGTTTCATGTGCTTGAATTGGTGATTGCTTAAAATATTTTAGATGTTGCTATGCTTATGTATTTTAATGTGAGCTAATAGGCTTTTTAAAACTTATTTTAAAATTTAAGTATGTATTTTTAATTAATACTAGTTGGGGCCCATGTGATGCATGAGTTTTGTTTAACAAAATTGAAGCCAAAGGAACCTGACATTTCCAATTGGGCCAAGCCGGTTCAAATCCAACCCAAGCATTCTTCTTAGATTACAAATCGTTATATAAACTCTATTAAATGGAATTTTATTTAATAAATTTTAAGTAATTTAAATAGAACTTAAATGAAATTTATTTGTTATTAATTATAATTTAATTAATAATGTTTACCAATTATTTTTAGATAAAATTATATTAGCTTTAATATTTAAATTAAAAATTATTCTTATAAATATTTATTTGCTTCTTATTATTTTCAAAACAAAATAAAAAGGAGCTTTGTTAAGCAAAATTAAAGTCCGTAGCATTCCCAATTGTGCCAAACTGGTCTAAGTCCAATCAAAACATTAATTTTGGGTAATATATTGTAAGATAAAGTTTTATTATTTTTTTAATATAACTTTTTAGTAACAAAACTAAGTTTAAATTTATTAATTTTTGTTGGTTTTATTAGTTAGATTATTGGTATTTATTATCCTAAATTGGTTATTAATCTACAAATATTTGAATGAACTATCGTTCTTAGTTTAATAATAATACTATTAACTAAATATTTAGCTAACATTATATATTTATTTATTACTAATATATACTTTATTATGGTACCCATACTTAACAGTTAACACAGGTTCCATATATGGACCCGCATGCTATTTGGGTTGTGCAAAAATGGGTCATCAATGACCTGTATAAATCATCTTCTTTACCCACATAGTTAAACTGTTAAAATGGTTTTCTTACAACCTGAATAGCCATAACAACTCCAACACCTCCACTCCTATGGATCTTTCCACTCTCCAAGTCATGCTTGTTGCGAGGACGATTTTTGTACCTCCCAAGTAAGCCCATCCAATTACGAATCAACCACCATAATATGTCTCTGATCTCCCCCAACGACATATGCAAAACCTCAAAGTCATGCCTGTTCCATGCCTCCTTATACCTCCCCTATCACCTTTCACCCCCTTACCTCCATCTATTGGACAAGCCGGCTACCCCTCTATCATGACCACCTTGCCAAAGGACCTCATAATTTCCATCTCCTCTTCGTATTTGGTGATTACCAGGCTGTATACCTCTCTTGGACTTCTATCTTTGATTAGTCTTCACTCTTCAGAGATAAAGAACACATTAGAATAGGCATCGCATGCATAGCCCATCAACCCCAGTTCCAAGAAACTTTTCACATCTTTCCACAAAAGGTTATGCTTCATTAAGATGTTCGGTTTCCCAAATGCCAAACATTAAAGGTATTAACATGCACTAGAGTTGGTGCCTTCCTTGGAGTCTAAAAGGTGTTTAAAAGCGCTCAAAAGAAGCTATGTGGAATTATGTAGAATTTAAAAAAAAAATCAAAAAAGGAGAAAAAAAGAAAGATGCCATATTATTATTTTAATTTTTTTGATTTTTTGCAAAATTCATGAATATTTTTTACATTTTTAAAAATTTTTATGCCTCGCTTCAAAGAGGCACATGCCTCACCTTGCAGCTTGGGCTTTTAGAACACTGATTATCTATATTTTGTCATAAAAATCTTGCATTAAAAAACAATAAAACAAAAAGGGCCCAAAAAGAAAGTAAATAAGTCATCATCAAATTGTTACAATTTATAATACTGATAAAAAAATGTTAGAATTTATAATGAAATCATTTTAAAAAATGAAGAAATTTGAAATTACCTTTTTACTTATCTGGATAACTGATTGCTTGTTATCTCTAGAGTCAATTAAGTTAAGACAGAGTGGGTAAACCTCAACGATAAAATTCTTGTTGTGGACAACACCTTGGGAAATCAACCTTCTGGGTATAGCTGGTCCTCCTTTGTACCTTCAAAGAAAATATAGAGGAGAAAAATAGAATGTGTGAGAAAACAATAAGCGTGATCTAGAAGCTGTGAAACATTGGAATTAGAAGCATGACTGAAGCTTAAGCAAAGCAAACAAACAAGAGAGGGACAGATGGTGTCCAACCATCTGCTTTCTATCAAACTAGGATAAAGACAATAATTGGGAGATAAGTCTCCGTTTTCATCCTTCCTTTCGGACTGCCTACATAATAGCATCATGCCAGTCACTACTTTGCAGAATGGAATAAGTAACAACTGATTGTATATTTAGACTTCACTGCATGATGCTTGAACAAACTACCAACTTTAGACTTTAAACAACAAATTACCATGTGTTGAACAACAACAATGAACAGACAATGGATCTGAAAGCCTTGTACAGATAGGGGGAAATAGTTATAAATCTCCTGGTTGAATTCTAATACTTGATAATCACCAATCCCACATCAAAGGACAACAAAGGCTTCTATAACTTGGTCGGCTAATTAACTCGTTTCAACAAAACTACTAAATCTTAAAACATAATGGGATAGAAACAATTGAGCTGTTCAGTAAGATCAATTTTAATAAAAAAGCATCGCACAATTTTCATTAAACAGTGATGAGCATAACGACTCGCAAATGAAATTGAAACCAAATGGACTATTTATTTATGAGGTGAGTAGTCTAAATTTCATTGAGTGAGGACATTTTCTTCCCTAGTAATTCATATCTAACAAACGATTTGCTCACTTCTTTTGGGTAGCAGTGTTTAAAAGCGCAAGGACCAATTTGCGCCTGAGGCGCAAGGCAAGGCGCGTGCCTTTTTAAGAAAGGCACAAAATTACAAAAGAAAAGCTAAAAAAATAGGTCAGCAAATTCCACAAAAAAAATGCCAAATTTTATTTTTAAAAAAATGCAAAAATTTTTAAAAATATTAAACATAATGTTAAAAAAATATAAACTTAAATTTTAAAATAAATTATTTTAAAAACCTATTATCTAAAATTAAATACATAAACATAACATGCAAAGTGTATTCAAATGAAAATTTAAAAATAAAAGCAAACATATAAAGCATTTTCAAGGGGCTTGGTCGCCTTTGTAGCACACCCCTCGAGGCAAGCCCAAACAAGTCTATGTTAGGGTCTGAAATTATTATTTTCTCACATAAAAAATAATGATTTTACAACTTTCATTGCCTTTTAAGAAGATATTTTATTGTAATGAATGAATGAACAACATAAGCAAATAGAGAGTTCTCGGAGCTCTGGTCTCGAGGGGCTTGGTCAGGGGTCCGGGGGCCCAGCCGTTAGACTCAAAAAAAAAGCAAAAAGCACAAAATTTTAAAAAGGCGCACACCTGGTCTGAGGCACAAAGCGCATCAGGCACACGCCTGGGCTGAGGCGCAAGGCGCATCAGGCGCACGCCTTTTGAAAGAGGTGGCCTAGGACCTGGGCGAGGCGCATACCCCAAAATGCACCTCGCCTTTGCGCCTAGGTGCGCCTTTTAAATCACTGTTGGGTAGTGATCTTCCCTATATAGAACTCTTTCCCATTAGCATGGATTTGATGCAAAACTTTAAAAATTGACAGTTTGACACAATCAGTTCTCCTTGTCCAGTGGATCTTAATAAATCACTTCATAAAACTTTTTAATCAGTAGATTATAGGCTATTTGATAACAACTGAAGTGGCTGAGCTGAACAACTTAGTGTTTTATCTGAGTAAGTAACTTAAGGAGGTTGTGAGCACCTTAAAGGCTGAAGCAGAAGTTGGCATTGAGTACTATTTTCCCAAAACACAAACCCTACGAAGAATTGCAGAACCAATCAAACTCTCTGAATACTTATTTAAGATCCTCTTTACTTCTCCTACAGACTTTTCTTTAATTTCTTCACCTTCTTAGTACGCCCATGATGTAGCACAGCAAAAAAACTTTAAAGAGAAGGAGATCTAGGTACCACTCCTAGAGGGTTTAGGCCTCACACCCAAACATAGGAACTAAGAAGCATCACACATCCACATAAAGAAACAAACTTCTGTATTTTATTCATTCTGTCTTGCTAAACAACCAATTCACCTATATTTATGACATAAAATAGCAGCTGATTGTCTTAACTAGGAATCCTACTCTTGGCTAAAGAATACTAATTTGAACTGAAAACACCTAACACTCTTCTAACATTACTATTTCTTAAACTTGATCACTAACTCAAAACACAATTTATTCTAGCTCCCAACTAGAATCTTCTCCATCATTGTGCCAAATAATAACCAAAGCCTTAGAATTGCTGGGCATTTTCTTTTTCTTGTACAAGTCATGAAGTTTACTGTATGATCCCTATCAGCACAACTCCAACCAAACCCCCTATTAACCTCGCAAACACTTTTGATACCTGGACTGTTCTTTCTGTTTTCTGATTGTTGAACATTCGTACAACATTAGGCTTCTTCTTCAAAATCATCGGACTCCTTTGATCATCATTGATTCTTTCCAACTCCAAAACTGACTTAGTGGCACATGTATAAAGTTCATGTTCAACTCTGGCATTTATGGATCTTAGCACACCTTAGTTTATGCCTCAACCTTTTAAAAACATGGATAAATTCAAAAGGATTTGTATAAATGTCCGTGTTCATGTAATATCATCCTTATATTCTTAATACATCTATTTTATCTAAAAAAACAAAAGTTCTTAAACAGTTAATACCAAAAATAGATCTATAGCAGAAGACTTTTTATCTTTTGGGTGGGGAGGTGGAAGTCTAACAAATAGAAGAAAGACAGGGCACACATTATACAGAGGCTTCCAGAATCTTTAGGAGGCAATTGTCCTGCATCCCCCAGTACTATCCAACTTAATACAAAACAAATCCTCCAGAAGTTTTTTATTATTTCCTTTTGTTAAACTCCAATTGTAAAAAGATGTCCTCGAGCATGCGATCCCATAAAGAAGGGAGAATGATAAAGACAATTACCAATCAACAAGCTTCTTCCAAACTTCTTGAGGAACCAAAACATAATCATGTCCTTCTTCCAGTGCTCTAAAAAGCTCCAAATCATCACTTTCTGTAGCATTTCCATTTTTAACAAGATGAGAATTATCTATCTGTCCTGGTCTATCTGCTGTCTTTAAAAGCCCATTTGTATGTCGAAAATTAGTGGAAGGATCATCAATTGGAAAATTGTCTTCTCCAATGTAATTCTGCCAACTCATAAACCACCTAAGAGAAAGGGAAAAAACCCATTAGTTCATATTTATAAACAGGCTATGAGTCCAGAACCCAACAAGAGTCCAATAAAAGCTAATAGCATGGAAACATAAAAATTTGTTCAAGTAGAAAGCTAAACCAAAGCATGTATATGAATTTAGCAATAACATTTGTAAGAACACCAAAGTAAAGATGAATAGGATAAGATATAGAACCATTTAGGAAAAGTGTGTATAGTTTTTTGTAGAAATAAAACACAGCAATTTAAGCTATCATAAGTGTCTAGACTTCTGCTTGATTTGCTCAACCATTATAACATTATTCAAATGTCTAAAAGTAATCAATCTTCCATTTCCAATCCATATCATTAAGTCACTTAAATAATCTCCATATTCATAAAAGTATTCCAGGCGATGATCAGTTTTATCAAAGTGCCAAGTGTCAACTACTCAGTTAAAGGCTACATGACTGCATCATTAACTAGTTGGTGTGTACCCATGACACAACTGCATAGGATGACTTAGAATCAACTAGATTGACAAACAACTAGTCCACCAAGATGATTTTAAAGTTGTATTTATTTGTATCTATCTTCTACTTTATACATGATGAGGGATAAATTATGAAATAAATGTCTAAAATGAAAGAGAAATGTAATTGTAAATGTCATCTTCTGATTAGTGGAGTACCAATACTAATATGGTTGTCAAGGCCTCTAGGCAATTCTAGGTGACAATAATGGAGCATCTAGTTGCTTAGTCGCCTAGATAAGTACCTAGGCAGTAGAATTTTACAATGGAAAAGTACCAAGTTAGCTCTTTTAATTTATATGCCAATAAGCATGCACATAAACTGAACTAATAGCATTGTGCTTTACTAATGACATTAGTTGTCCTCTCAAAACATTGCAAACCATTGTATCCAAAAGAAATTACCATTTTCAAATCAATTAATTTTAAGAATTCTAGCACAACACCATAGCAAAGCATTTTATAGAACAAATGCGAGTCAAGAAAAAAAWATATATATTACAAATAACGAAAAGGGAAAAGAATGAGGGACAGAGCCCTCCTTCCACTTAAAGCTGTTGGATCCTTGTGTTTTAATGGTACAATTCTTAAACAAAACACAAATAAAATGTGAAACATTTGACAGGATGTATTGACACAAATGATAATAATATGTAGCCATAGTAATAATATTACAAATTTACAATAAGGTTAGCTGTGTTGGAAACTTCCTAAGTAGACATGATAACTAGGAACCTAAGAAAAATGAATACAATTATACATTTACTATCTCTTTAAATAATCAATAAAATTTTCATTGTTACTGGTAAAAAAAGAGCCTAACTTAGGTAGTTATCATATTACTTTGTAGGTGATTTGCGTTGAAGCTGATGAATTTTATAGTAGTTTCAAATATATCACTTAATAGTTGTTTAAAATTTCATGTCAGTTGTGCATATAATGGCAAAAAAATAAAAAAACAGCAAATTGAGCCTGTCTACAGGGTTATTACTAAATAGGCATCACATAAATAGCACAACCAATGTATGACACTGGACAAGCAGTAATGACCATGTAGTTACCTTTATTAGATGACAATTACCTCTACAACTTTGCTAGAGATGGTCGAGGGAGGGATAATCATCAAATGAATTTGTACTTTTGCAGGCACCCTGAGAAGCTAGTCCCAGGAGGCCATTATTGTTGCATAGTTGTCAAGGCCCACGGCTTGCCTCGCCCAACCATGCGATTTACATATAACCTCTTCAAAGTTTATAATGTTTTTTATATGTTTATATCTTGATAGACACAATACACCATATCATTCTTTTTATTTCTTTCGTAAAATAATATGTTTTTTTATTAGTTTCTATTTTTGTTAGAGTTCTGAATTAATGATAGATATTTTTTTTTATTTCTTTCACAATACACTGTTATCAGTGTTTCTTCAGACAAAAAGAAGAGGGGCTCCAACCCTTCTTCCTCTTCCTTTTCTGGAACTAAAATACCTTTGTCTCCATCAATTTTGAGGTTCTTTTTGTGCTTTCTTTTTTCTAAGACAAGAACAGGGGCTCCATCCCTTCTTTTACTTCTATTTCTATGACAAAAAAGGGGGCTTGGCCCCTTGTTGTATTGTCCTTTTCTGAGACATTAAGCAACACCCAGGCAAGTGCCTAGGTGACTAAGTGCTCCCCTGTTGCATAGGTTCGCCTTGGGGCACCAGTTCAGGACTCCACCCCTTCCTTTCATTTCAAATTGTTCAATTGCTTTCCTCACCACCCTCTCCCCACCCAAGAAGAATAGCCCCAATGTCTACCCCACCTCCACCTGCCTACCCACTAAGTGGGTGTTTGGCACCGGTTCGTTTTACGACCATTCCATTTCTGCTGATGTGTCATGCACACCACATCAGCAAATAAACGGAATCGGCAAGAAAATCACATTTGGCAAGGGTGTTTCTCAAAAAAAAAAAAAAAAACAAACGTTTCTGTAATGATTAGCTTTGGAATTCTGGAAAGGAGGGGTTTCTTGAAACGTCAAATTGACATTTCTTGAATCACCTGGGTGATCCTGAATCACCCTGGTGACATGGCACATTGAAATTTGAAAAAGCTGACTACTTTTTTACTTTTGAGATGTCACACAGTTGTCATTATAAATATATTATAATATTAAGCCAAATCATTTTAAACACCCAGTCAGCCTGCATCCCTTTTTTTGCATTTTCAAAAGAACAAGTGAAACAAATCACTTATGAATTGGGGCCCACTTGTGAAATGGAACGCTCTGATGCCAAACACCTACTAAATGTTTAATGTTCATAGTTAATAGGCAACAACCAGTTTGGGAATTTGTTTTAGGATATCTAGAAGTTTAGCGGGGGCCCACAATCTGTCTTGGACCTTGGGTTATTTAAACCATCTCATCTCACTTAGGCTATTTATTATCAAAACTTGTCCAAAAGTCCATTTTGGTTTATTTTGTAAGGTATGGCTGACCCAATCTTTGGAGTCTATCTACTTCTAGTAGAGAACTTGATTATGAAATAAGAGTTTGAAATTTTAATTGAATTATTGTGAGTCACATTCTCTTACCTTTTCTTCTCTTTGTTCCATATGGTTGCAAGGTTTCTTCTTATCTCTCTCTCTCTCCATCACACAAACTTCTTTACAATGTTATAGAGGAAAACAAAAAAAAGACGAGTAGAGAGCATAGAGTGGAAAATTATGGAGAGAAAGAAGAGAGAAAAGGAATGGATTAGATGTTTCACAGGTAAGAGATGGCTCTTTTATATTTTTTTATATATGAAGATTAAATGATCTATTACCTATCTTTAATGTTTTGCATATCAAAACAGAACACACATTGTTTGGTTTGGGTAGAGGTCATCTTGTGATACAATATTTGTCATTTATTTTTTAATAATTATATGAAAATATTTTATTTTGATCCTTCCTATGCATGCCTAATGAAATGAACCATACCGAAATGGATACCAGATTCCCTTGTCGAATTTTCATTCAAACTGATTTTTTTAGAACCACCAGATATCAAATTGAATTTGGTTATGGGGTAATATGTTGTTAAATTGAATTTTGAATTCGATTCAATCTGTTGCAGCCCGACATTGTGGATAAATAATAGTACCATAATTTATATACTAGTTTCTTTGTATTATTATTTTTTCAATTTGTTAGGGCTCGATCAACACACAAGTCAATGCATACTGACTTGAACTGTTGAAGGCTTCAAAACTTGAACCTACGAGCAAGGAAGGACCTGGAGATTCTTCTTCTTTTCCTGGGATATAACAACACTCTCATTTCTCATCCCCTATAATTGTTGGGGCACCCAGGTAATGCCATATAAGAACATTCTGAAATGGTCTAAGCAGCAGATTTCCATTATCATCATCTAAGCTTTATCGCAACTATATGGGGTCAGCAACATGAATCCTGCTTCGCCATTCCGTTCTGTTTAGTGTCATATCCATTGCATTTAACACCATGACGCGTCAGTTCCGGGAAAGCCGTAGCATATCCCACCCATTTCTCACGCCACATTCGGGCTAAGGTGTAGGGCTTTTCCCCTAAGGTAGGAATATGTTAATTGTCACATGGATTAAATAATGATTTAAACAAGCAAAAATGCCGGGAATAAGGAAAATATTATCACCAACTTAAGGTAATCTGAACGAACTATATATTGCTTCATCACATATCAATTCAGAATTGAGCGATGCAGTAGCAACGAACAAAGGCAATGCTAATGCAATAAAATGTCTCAAGCAAAGCATATGACCTTATAACAATTAAAATTAAAAATAAAAATCCAGGACTTGTGCTGAGATCGTACCTGTTGGAAAGAATATAATATAAGTTCCCTTCTTTCAAATTAGATTCTGCTGCTTCAGTTAGTTGCCTTATAATCCGCCTTTCTTCCTCCGGTGTACACGGCAAGCAGCTAGCCTCATTGTCCATCAGGAAAGATGAATCGGGAATCGTCATGATCGATCTAAAAGCGGTTTACTTTTTCCCGATCAAATTTTGAAAAGAAAAAAAATCAACATGCACACAATAGATTTAAAATTTGTCCGTGTACTGAAATCTCCGATCCCCAATCTGGGGCCAAATCTACTTAGAAACCCTTAAAAATAAATCCATAAATAAAAACAAGAAGTGTGGATAAAGGAACTTCAAAAGTCGATCCTTACTCCTGCCTAATTGGACGATTAGACGAACCCCTAATGTAAGAATTCGATGAATGAGTGGGTTGGGAGAAAACAGCTTTAAGAAAGTCGAAATTGAATTCAAATAACAGATGTATCTCTTATTCCTCTTTCCCCATTTCTTGGACTCGGATGGAGGGTATCGTGGAAGGAGGAGGCATAGATTGCAGAAGGTCTCGATCTCGCGGATATTCGAGAAGACAAAGAAAAGAGAAAACAGAAAAGACGAGAGAAATCCTACTTCTTCTCTCCGTCTTTTCAACTCTCCCTCTCTACACTCGGGTCACGCACACCCGCCGTCACGCGGAGTCTTGAATGGGTGAAGCTCGAAAATACGAACACAAACGGACAAACAAACAAGTAAATAGGTGAATAGGTGAAGCGATATTTTCCTTCTTTCTTTTTTTCTTTTTCCTACTCTCATCGGAAGATATTCTTAATATACGGCGGCGATGTGTTGTGGGATATTATGGGGCGTAGATTTGATTTCCCCACAAACGCCCTACATACACATACAGTTGTAGATCGTAGGTGAAAGATTTTTTAATATACTAGTTGTTTAAAATTCACTTTTAGCATTTCTCTTAAACTATCATAATTTTTCAAAATGTTTAAAACCCATGTCACTAATTTGATATTAAACAGACTAATGGGTGTTAATATATTACCATTTCAACCTTCATAAAAAAATATAAAATATATATAAAATAAATTAATGGGTGTTAATATATTATCATTTTAATATTTAGACGTGAAATAAAAGGAAAAAGTTCAAAAAATATTTCAAATATAAAATACATAAAAACATAGAAATTACAAAAAAATATAAAAATTATAAAAATTATAAACAAAATAAAAAATTATTTTTAAATTATAGAAACTATAGAAATTGAAAAACAAAATCGAAAAATAAAAATTGTAGAAAAAACACCAAAAATTATAGAAAAACACAGAAATTACAAATAAATAACAAAAAATACAAGAAAATTTATAAATTGTAGAAAATAGAAAATGTAAAAAAACATTAGAAATTATAACAAAACACTAAAAATGTAAGAAAATTGAAAACTGAGAAAACCATTTTCCTCTAACTCGCCATTCAAAGGTAATTTGATCATGAAAATTGTTATTTATAACATGGACACCTTTGTTAAGAAACATTAAGGATGCACTAAGGAAGATGAATTTTGGAAAATAAAAACTTAGGCTGCGTTTGGATGCAATGCAAATTTCGGTTCAGTACAAATATGTATTCCGGATTGGATTTGTGAGTATTTGGATACATGGTTAAAAAACACCTAAAATCGAAGTAAAATTGTAAATATGTCAGTATTTACATCGATTTTGGGGTGAAAAACTACTTCGATAAAAACGGCACTCGAAGTCGATCGAGGGATATAGGCGAAGGGTTTACCCTCATCATCCACTAGAACTAACGACTATTTTTCCATTATCAGTGTAAGCATTCATCTGATATCTGAGCATCAAGTCGATGACCACTTCTATGCAACGAAGATCTATTCAAGTGTTCGAGCATCCGAGCATCTGAGATCCGAGTGTCCGTCGTCAGAGATTTGAGGTATAAGAAACGAAGATCTGAGCATCAAGTCATCGGTGAGGTTTCTTGAAATACCATCTTCTTCTTCTTTCTACTAATCGCCCGAAACCCCAAAACTTCACTGTTCATTGTCCCTGTCCTCCTGACAGCAGCGGCAGAGGAGTTCGCCGCTGCAACTCACTGAATAACTTCCGCCCATATCCCCATCTTTTTTCCTTTTTCAATTCTAGCCGTCATCGATGGCGCCTCTCCTCGTCCTCTTTCTTCTCTGTTATACTCTCCCCCAACATTCCCTGCTAGAAGCCGACCCCCCTGTCCAAGTCTTCTTCGTCGATTGAACAGAATCATCAAGTAAATGTTGCAGTCCCTAGTCATCACTATTGAATAGAAAACAATCCGGGAGGGAGATTACTAGAACCTCTGTTGCAACATCTGCATTAAGGCCTACAGCCGCCTACATCCGATTCAGGTTTTTCCCATTGAAGACAAGTTCTTAGTGACTGAAATCTTTGACCCCCATGTTTTATCGATCATTTCCAGGCCGACATCCAAGTTCTCAGGTCGATCATTTGTTTAATGGCGAGAGTGGTTGGAACACCATTGGGTAGCAAGACACAGTTGTATTTGTACTGATGAGAATGCCAAACATCCACAAAAATTGCATTGCTATTTGCATCTTTCATAACAAATGAATTGAGTGCAAAGTGGGTGTGTAAATCTTGAACCACTTTGCACTCACATGACCCAGACATTTTTGCTTTGCACTTTACAAATTTGCATTTGCATCCCTTTCAAAAGCGGCCTTGGTGATATGGTGAGTTTTAAACATTTTGAAAAGTTATGGTGAGTTTAAGAGAAAGGTTAAAAACTCATAGTGAGTTTTAGACAATTTTCCTTTTTATATTCGATAGACATTTCTTTTACTTTTTAATTTCCACCTTGACTAGGCTCGAATCACCCACGTGCCCGGTGTTGTTGCACATCTACCCACCACACATTACAGCTGTTATTCATGGGGAGATATTCTCAATACACAGTAGTGGTGCTCTAGATAGGTAAGTGGCAACAACTAGTGGGTAGCAGATTCTGAATGACCGGGATGGGTATTTTTTGTTTCAAAAACRTATTATGGGTGCTGATAGGGTGCAAACGCACTATATCATAATCCTATTCGAATCTGAATCCATCCAATTTTGTTGTTTGGATATTTCTGATTTTTTTTTGTTCAGATTGGAAATACGATTCCTTTAAAATCAGATCAAATTCAGATTAAAAAGAATACGATCCAACATATTATTGTAATTTGATTTTTTTATTATGTTGTTTTGTGAAAAAGATGTATATACTCCCATTTTGTTTAAATATACATGACAAAAATGGTTGAAAAAATGCTTGTATTTTTTTGGTCGTAAAGACTTTTTTACATGTTAATAATTAAATGGGATCATATTAGATTTAAATATCCGACATCCTTAGTAAATTCGAATTCAAAACAATCATTGTGAGATCCATCGGATCATCAGAGTGGATAAGATATAGGATTTACATTATCATATTTAATTCAAATATGCCCCATTTTGAATCAGATCTCACTTTGTTGTTGTATAGTATGCAAATTTATGTGTTGAATTTAATAATATTTTGAAAATTATGTGGAGGATATTTGATAATTTATGTTTTTTTTTATAGGTTCGACTATGATACGGAAAAGATATGATATCCGAAAAAACATCTTACCAATCAACTGGAATCACAAACGTGGTAGTGAACCATGTGTTATTTATTAAAATTCATGGGTGGGTTTTGATTGGTCAAAACTCTTTCTACTCGCATCATAGATTTTCCCTTTTTTTTACACTAATAATTAAGCACATGCATTGCATGTGATAAATTTTTCTTCATATTAATTACTTGAATTTTAAATATGTCATAGTTAAGATAAAATTGAAAATCAACAAAAGTAACAATATGATTAAAACTAAACTTAAATATTTATTATTCAATTATGACATCATGGGTTTCTTTGAAAAGTTGGATCGTTGACCTACCATCTAGATAAGAAAACAGTTTTGCTTTTGGATTAGTTTTAAATTCGAGAAAATTATAGTCAGAACTAATTGTGTAGTTAAAATTATGTTACAAATTGGTCCATATGTTAGACAGTGTATGCCCTTAGCTCTAATCGAAATAATGTATCTTATGACATTTAATGTAAATGAATAAAATACATATTTGATTCATGTTATTATGGTGTGTTTCTGTGTAATACCCTTAAACTGTACACATATGAGACTCGTGTTAGTTTAGAATGTTCAYAGTCGTTTGATAGATCTAGGGAGATTTATCCTAATAAGGCTGACACTGATGTACTGTTAAGTTGATTGGGGTAGCCTGTCTCAGCTGCCAGGGTGACACTCGAGGTACATGTAGTGAATGTTTACATGAAACCCTGAATCAGACCATAATTCCAGTATTGCTCTGGACCTTGGTGATTAGTGGGCAAAACTGGAATGTTACACTTGACCCCTAGACTCGATTATGATACTGCACTAGGTGTCGGATCGGGCTGTCTTTGATATGTCAATCAGTGAGATCCTTAGAGGGGGTAAAAAACTTGGGTATGTTGGGATAGTCCGAGAATTCATTTGAGTGAGTGATCATAGTGACAGGATCAGCCAATTTATCGGACAAAGGTAATGATCGGGGATGCACTCTCTCTGATGGAAACTAAAGCTGCTGGCAGCCGATTTCAATTGTTGAAATTTGTTTATGCAAAATATATTTATATATAGATATACATATATGTTACGGTTTCAAAATGTTTGCAAAAGATTTTAATTCCCGGGATCCATGTGAGTAGAGAGTGCAACACTGTTCCTTGCAGTCGAGGGAGAGGTCATCTCTTGTCGGATAGTGTTTGATCATTATGGACTGAGAAGTTAAGTGTAAGACCATTGAGGGTAATACCTGATAAGCTAATCTTGCATCTGCCCACAGTCCCTGGGTTTTTATAAGGTGGTTTGGCCCAGGGACCATTTAGTGTAAGTGTTGGGCTCATTAAGAGTTCATGGTGACGGGCTCAGGGGTTCATTGTCCATTACAATGAATTCGGACATGCCTTGTAACAAATGCTAGGCTTAGCCCATGTGGTTGATGTGTAGATCAATGTTTGGGTCCCACGCCATACAAAGAAGCTCAACTGGGTAGCAATTTGGGAGGTTAATGAGCACATAAACTTATTGAGCCTAAAGCTCATTTCGAACTGGTCTAATTTGATTAGTTAAAGAGAGGGGCGGATTTGGGATTGGATCAGCATATATGATAGGGAGTTATCTGTATCCACTCAGAGAGTCTAGATCTAAATACAGATTTGGATCTGAAAACTCCTAATAAGATTAGGAGGGTTGATCTAATCTGTAGATAAGATAAGGGTTTATCATTACCTCTTAAAGAGAACTCTTGATCCACTTGATCCAAATACAGATTTGGATTAGTAAACTTCTAATGAGATTAGGAGCTCTCTTTAAGGCTATAAAAGAAAGAGGGGGCGAACCATTCTATACACACATCAAATCAGATTTCAGATCACAGAAAGAGAGAAGACAGCTACAGTAAGACTGCGCCATCTTCTGCTCTTGCGCCCTTCTCCTGCTGCCACCATTGTCAGTTCGATCTCCATTCTTGTAGGAGCGATCAAGAAAGGTTCTTGATATCAATCTTTGGAGAAAGATTGATCTGAAGTTGTGCTCACAGCCTCCAT